ACACTGCTCCTGTCTCACACAATCACCGTAAGTCTCGGTATCACAACATGGTTATGTCTAGCCAATCAACGATGCTGTCAGTGTCGTGATACTACTGCGCATGCTCAGAGTTTTGAATTTGGTTAGTAGCAAGAAGGCGTCTCTCTGTACGGGTGTTCTGTCTCAGCTTGGCAAACCATTCATCGTGTATTTGAAAACGAAGCCGCTGCCATCGACATTTTTGAGGCTCACGGTATTCCGTCAACCCCTGTGACCTGCTACAGGAGTTTATATGCAAAATATAGACGATTGTGGAAGGATATCAAGAGTTGTGTGCTTCCTGCCGGCAATAAGAAGGAACATTGCCAACAATATTTCCCAAGACTACTGCAACCACTTTCTCATACAAGTAACACCACTTTATCCGGTCAATTTTTTGTTGTGCACCGGTCTTTCTCTCGCTGTTATTAATATGTATTTCGTAATGTTTAGACAATTCTGGTGTAAATCGAAAATTGCGAATTCGTATTCAGGGAAAGTTTTTGGAACTTCCAATAACTTCATGACATAAAACCACTGACTCTTCAGGCTTCTACGCCCTTAACTCGTGAGACATAAAGGCAAGCATGAACTTAGCATGCTTCCCTGTTGGGCGCTGTAAACGCTTCTGCGCTTCACCTTACACAAGGATGTAAGGGGGTGCCCAATAAATAATAATAAAAAAAAAAAATTAGTGATTTGTGTATAAAGTCGCCAGGCGTGATCAGCTCCACCTGTTGGGACACTCCCGGCAAATAGACTAGGTTCCTTGTTGTTTAACTCGTGCTGTAAGAAGCTTCATCTATGGGTTGAAAATTAATATTGAATCAGGACTCACAGGGTTCGCTCTAGTGGTTCATTCTGATTGTTGATAACACGGACTTCTTGAGGTGACGTACAGTCGAGGACAAAAGTTCCCTCCCCGTGATGAAACCGAGTCGCGGAACGAGTCTCCGAATTGTCTTACTCTAACTGTTATAACTCGTTTAGGTTCGATGCTGCTTCATTTTGGGCGGGAGCGAACACCCTGCTTGTACCTGTAGTCGAGTAACATGACCTCCTCAATTAACAAATACGTGACAATGTTTTCCTACTGGACTCCCAAACAAAGTCAGGTTCAAAGTTAACTCATTCATCTTACATGTAAATAAGAACAAGACACGAGACAGAAAAAAAGGCATAAACCCGTAGTGGGAAATGTGTTGAGGGCGAAATAATTTAGAAAGTGAAGACGAAGAATTGTGGGGGAATTTAAACTAGAGAAAGGGACCCTCGCTTCACTCTGTGGGATCCCCGTGGATGTTGTAACTTTATTGACAATATTAAAGATAATAAAAGAAGCAATAACAGGGAAGAGTCGCTACCAATAAACTTCACGGGAGGATATTGGTTGTGTTCACCGCTACAGAGTTAAAACTGGAGGGGGAAGTCCACTGAATGTTCTATTTTAACAACTCACTAGGTCAGATTGTTGGTGACCACATCAGCAGGAAAGTCTTGATTGGCTTAAAAATAAACCAAGAGATTAGTCAGAGTTCGTGTGTGTGTGTGTGTGTGTGTGTGTGTGTCTCTGTCTCTGTCTCTGTGCGCGCGCTTGAGTGTAAGTGCAGTCTAGGAAACAACTATCTTAAGTTTTGACGATACATCAAGGAAATTTTTCAGCCATCCAACGCATGCATCTGTGGGTTTCCATTTATTTGGTTGTTTTCTTATTCTTTAAGCCACTTATTTACTGAAATTCAAGCACGGAAAAAAAAATCGGACACCAATTCACACTTTTATATTTACTATAGGTGTTTATATATGTATTATGGATATATACTACGGTGACGATATAATATAAAAGACGAAGAAAATAGCGATATGTGGATTGAGTTTCCTCTGCCATTGGTTTTGTCCTGTGAACTATCAAGGTTCAATTACTCTATTAACAATATCGTTATGGCATGGACGATATCATGTTAACTTAAGGATAACGATAAGAGATAAGGGGTAATTGGCATAACATACTAAGGAGACGACACAGTAAAACAGAGAATCAAGATGAGTAAAATAAAGTGAAAAAAAGTCATATACAAAAATAGCGATACAGTAAAGATTGCTGAGGAAAAAATAAAATATAAAATAACATATTAGGAAATAATGGAAAGGGAATTGACTAAAAACAAAATAAATCGATAGAATAAGAGTGAATAGATGACAAGGAAGAATAAGGAGAGGGAGTAAGAAAGAGCATACAAGAAACATGAAGAAGTAGTGGGGGTTAGAAGTTTGCTATCGAAACCTGGTGATGTGTGGAGAAGGAGAGGAACACGTATTCAATGTTAGGGAGATAGAGAAGTCACAGTACATTACCTTAACACTTGGTCACTGGGGAGGTAAGGGTGGATGAACCATGGGTGTGTGTAAAACCATCTCCTTGTAAAATGGTTCCTGGAAAAAGATTACGTGATTGACGAAATGCTGAGTGGGAGAATAATTTTGTAAATGGGAATAATATTAATGGTGTGTGTGTGTGTGTGTGTGTGTGTGTGTGTGTGAATCTGAGAACTAAAGGAAGGGTCAGAGGATTATATTCACGTGTATAGAAGTAACTGCAAGACTTAAGGAAATTAAACTATCGCGTGTGGTTAGTGTATTAAAAACAGGTAATTAAGACAATCCAAAGACTTAACATGAAGCAAAGTGGAGATTGAGAAGTGACCAAAATGACTGTATGAATGAGCGTGGCTGTCAGTAGGATATTCAACAATAGAATGACAATACACTAAATCCCTGGATATAACTTGAAGAGATAACAGACTACGTACTAATTTGCCCCATGAGAGAAAGAGGGATTAAGAGGTGATGAAAAACTCCCATTCATCTGCAAATTTCCCCAGAGAGATAAATCACCTGTAAATGTTTGTAAGTTGCAAAGAGCCTGAAGATGGAAGAAGCAGTTACTGGAGACGACAAACATATGCAAAAGGAGGTTTTAGGTCAAATACTTCATCTTATGGATTTTTTAATTGATTCTTGGAATCTCGATGCTGTTACACTACCAAAAACTGGATTATAGAGCGAGATGATAATACAAATGATAATGATGAAGTTACCACACCCTTCGGAAGTTAACCATCAAAGTCCCTATTTACAATACACATTAATTTGGGTAAAAGCCTTTGCTCTTCATATACTACCTTAGGTCCCTTACAAGTGATATTCATGCCGCTAAATATGTACAGGACAGGACGGGAAGATTAGACAGAGAAATACGATTGTGTCAGCGTTTATCCAGATGTTAATCAGCATGTCACAGAATTACATCCAAGTATCAAATACAAAACACTGAGATTCACGTGTATATAATGGGTAAAAAGGAAAAAGGCTAAAAGACTATAAATCTCTAACGTCAGACTTTATGAATGCAAGGACCAAAAACTCATTTCAGATGCCAATAAAAAATATGATAGAGTTGACAGAAAATGGAACCGAAGGCATGATTAAAAGGCAAGAGATTGGAGAGGGTTCAAATACCATCTATCTGGGGGAAGTACTTAAGAGGAGGGAATGGATGCTGAGGTATGTGTGGCGGACAACAAGTACACGTGTTTGAGGCAGCAACAAGGTGACGAGTGCTTGTCCTAGTGGATGTAATGGAATGTCTTTTGGACTTAGGAATACTTCTTAATGTCTTATATTGGAGTAAAAATATTAGGTCATATTGCTGGTATATTTGTTAATGCTTAAAGAGTTGTTGAAGCGTGCTAATACATTATAATATCAACTATATATATAAATAATTCCTAAGATCTGGGATTGGAGTTGGTAAGATGAACATGTAAATGATACTAGATATTATAGTACTGTAACGAATGATTAGACGATGATCAAATTGAAAAGACAAATTGAAAAAGAGGATTCTGAGATGGTGTGGATATGTGGTGATGGTGGATAAAGAAGAGACCAAGAATGTGATGGTGAGAGAACGTGAAGACTAGAACGAGAAAGAGAAGGAGAGAGATGTGACAAGAGTGAGAACGTCTGAACATATGATGATGATGATGGTGAATACTAACAGGTGAATGCTTGCGAAATTGCATAAGGGAAATATGAAGGAAGAAGTGTGGTCAAATTTATGCAAGGGAGTGATGACTTGGCAAGGAATTGTGTGAGATTTGTGCGAAAGTGGGATGAACGGAGAAGGGAAGCCATGAATGACGAATAAATGTGAGAATTTATGTAAGGGAATGAAAACTTAAGTGATTCAGGAACCAGGTATTGGGAAGTAGCCGTACTAACACACAAAAACAGGTCTCTCAGGTGTGCAGGAGGCGCCAACTGCTTACCTCACTCTTGTACAGTACATCACTCTTGTTCCATTTACCACTACCATACCACACTCACCCGGGAACTCCTACAACCAACATTAATACACCCTTACCCCTTACCCCTTATCCCTCTTACCCCTCATCTCCTCTTACCCCTCATCTCCCCTTACCCCTTATCTCCCCTTACCCCTCATCTCCCCTTAACCCTCATCTCCCCTTACCCCTCACCTCCCCCTCTCACTTCACTCGATATCTTAATTCAGAGAAGGAATGAGTGCCCTTAGTACTCAAATTTTATGCGTATTTTTTTTTTTTTTTTTACTTGACGTTGTATAGGAAGTTGTGTAGTAGTATTTATCTTATTTTACACGAGACTCAATGAGATATGGATGATTTTAATTTATTTATACTATTAAATATGATTGTAAGTGTATCATTAAGAATATAGTTATCAATTATCTTGTTTATTCTTGTGTTTTCTTATATGTTACTCAACGCTCATATTATTGTCTTAAAATTATTTTGGTTTTAGCATTTATATTTATCTCTTCTGTTCCGTTTATCTTTTATTCACTCTTACTTCAGGAATGTTTGTCATGATGTAGTTTTTTTTTTATCAGTGATGTATCAATGGACTCAAAAGAACCGATTTGGCTCTTCCTATTCCAGATGCCCCGAGGGTGAGTGTGACGCTCGGCCGCTCCCTCGACGCTGCCAACATCAAGGAAGGGGACGATCTCTATTTTGAATGTGCCGCCACAGCCAAACCTCCACCTCACAAGGTCACCTGGAGTCACAACGTAAGTTATCATATGATTTTGTATCCAGTGTTAAGGGTTATTTTTCCTAAGAGCAGTTTTATAACTCTTGTGGACTGTTTCTTGCCTGTGGTTCACCTTACGAGGCAGGGGGTTCATATGCGTAGTGGAATTAAGTCACTCGTCTGCATAGTAGCGTTAAGCTGTTCATAGATTGGATATCGTTACTGGGTTGTAAATTTGATGAGCATCGAGTGCTAGGTGATGCGTAATTCATATCCTGTTATTCTAAGGAATTCAGTTGGTGTCTGATCCGTAAAATAATATTGTAAGTAATTCAGGAACTACATGGGTGAGTTGGCCTTTGTTATAGTTCGTAGATATAGGTAAGAGATACATCATAATTCCTCTTTTAATACTTGTGAGAGAGGAGCCATTGTTGCTGCTCTGATAAACGGCTTGGTGGTATTCATGGCAGAGTGGTCGGTACTCGATAACCTCGCTTGGTTTCTCCACATTATCCCTTATATATTATCTTACGGTCGCTGCACAACACAGAGATACACATCCTCCATTGTTATCACCACGTACTAACATGCTACACCAAACCTCTGAAATGACCTTCCATTTACCTACTCAATGTACAGCCTTAGGTAATAAATCTCACAATTCATATATTTTCTCCTAAATTTTAACCTCACTGTTTATACGAGTCAGTTCTCCATCTTCATTGTAGGGGGGACCTCGACTTGGTTAAAGGCCATCTCTCCATCTTCATTGTAGGGGGGACCTCGACTTGGTTAAAGGCCATCTCTCCATCTTCAGTGTAGGGGGGACCTCGACTTGGTTAAAGGCCATCTCTCCATCTTCATTGTAGGGGGGGACCTCGACTTGGTTAAAGTCCATCTCTCCATCTTCATTGTAGGGGGGGACCTCGACTTGGTTAAAGTCCATCTCTCCATCTTCATTGTAGGGGGGACCTCGACTTGGTTAAAGGCCATCTCTCCATCTTCATTGTAGGGGGGGACCTCGACTTGGTTATAGTCCATCTCTCCATCTTCATAAAAAAAACTATTCTATTTAAGTTATGATCATTTTTTTCTTTATGGGTGTTATTCTGAAGTTATTATATCGTGCGGGTAGCGACTGTGGTCCCCCTAAAAGAGAATTTAATAGTTTATAGCCACTTAGGTCGTCAACATACTACTGCTTGGGTCTTTATTCATGGTCCTTGAGTCACCTACACTGATGTTATGACTGGATAAATTTCATAGCTTGAATATTTTGAGAGAGGATGGACGGATGTCTAAGAGTCAAGATTCCCATTAATCTTGTCTCGGGTTTCAGTCCTATATTCTTACGACAATATTTCTGTCTTTGTATTAATGTCTGCAATGTGTGTGTGTGGGTGTGTGTGTGTGTTTGTGTGTGTGTGTGTGTGTGTGTGTGTGTGTGTGTTTGTTTCTATCCTGGTGTCTAGATATTTTCCTTTACATTTTATTTTTACCATATAATTCTCCAAGACACACAGAAGCCCAACCCACTTCTCAGGAGAAATTCACCGAACACCTTACATGAAATTGAAAATCTGGGAATGTTAGGACGTGTTTGTTGTATAAATGGAAGAGCGTTTCTGGTTACAAATACAATGAACTACTGGTATAGGGATGTTTTAGGGAGAAAGATTCATTGTCGTAAGCTGTGGGGAATAAAAAGATTAAAGGAGGAGAAATATTTAAGGTATCGCGTATTGGTAGTATATTGCTGACAACCGGTAAAATATCGAAGTATTATTATTGGTAAGGAATAATTGAAAGCCATTGAATTCTAGCCATAAAGGCGACATTACACAGAGGACATAAAGGGGAGAGAGAGAGTAACCATGTCATTGATAAACTGTATAGAGTTAAGTTAAATTTTATTAAGGAGGAGAAGGGGAATTTTTTCATGTGAAGGAGGACTTTGATTTTGTATATAAAGATGAGGAGAATCAGAGAACAAGAAAACCTTTGATGGAATACGGAAGAGGAATCCAAACTACTCATGAAATTTTGTGGTGTTTCCTAAGAGGTGTTGAGATTGTGAGTTACAGTAGTGATGAAGGAGTTACAGGAGGAAGTGTGGCGATAAGGTGTGGCTATAAGGTGTGGCTGAGCGTTGTCCTGCCTCTGTGTGATGGGTGGTGGAAATTCTATACTGTAAATACATGTAAAAAAAAATTGATGCCACTGTAAAAAGAGGAAGAGGATTGTCAATATTTACAGAAGGAGATGGAGTGACATTCTAGGTCAGTGAGTCAGTGAGGATAAAGTGAGGTGTTGGGTAGCCTTACTGTTACTTTTTCTTGAATATTTTTTTTCTTTTCATTTTATACTTTTATTGATATTTGTTTTATGTTGTTATTTACTTGTTTATCTATTTCTCTTAGTTATTGGTAGTTATTCTGTTTTTCATTCTTTATTGGTTTTGTTTATCGTTGTTTATTTTTCTCTTCCTTCCATGCTTCCAGTTCTCGGTGGTTATTCTATATCTCCCTGTTTCTTTAATGTGAGTTTATGTAGTTAACTGCTATAGGTAGACTCTACTTGTCTAGTATATGTCTTAAGATTTCCTTCACTCTTGCCGTCGAAACAAAACAAAGACTAAGTTTTAAAGTAATAATTAAAGAAATAAACAGAATATAAGAAGGAAATTAGTCAATCTAAATATCCAGAAAGTTAAAAAAAAAAATACTCCCAGAAAAAATGTAAAATTCTTATGAACAACAAAAAGAAAAAAAGAAAAAGACAGAGAGAAAGAGAGAGTGAGATTTCTGTCGTCATCTTTGTCGTGGGAGTTTCTCCACTCTGGCTGGAGATGTCAGTCTGTATTTGTCCTTACGACTGCAGGAGACAGGCTGCGTGTGCTCCCTGCAGTCGGGCAAACACACCAAGAATAGTCCCAGATTTTTCTTCAGTTGATATCACACCCGACGAGAATCTCTTCCAACCTGCAGGGAGAGATATTCCAGGGCCGGCTGTGAGGGGCTCTGTCGTATATGTGGTAACTGGCGGTACCTTAGTATGAGATGGCTATGAGGAGACGAGTGGAGTGTTGTCATGGGTGGGGTGATGATGGGTGTTGAAATATATATCACCAGCGTAACAAAAATCCCTCCCGAGATATAGTATATATATATTTTTAAAGATTCACTGCACATTATCGAGTTAATGATAGCTAGGATGATGATAACTACAAATATTAAATTAATCTTAGTGTTGTATCATCGTTAATTAAGGATTACTTACTTAAATCTGTTGTGGTGAATCATTTATGAAACTCCCATCGCTATCCATTGACTGGTAGCTACAACTCTAATTTTATTCCTCACTTGCCACGTATATAGTTACTTTTTAGGGATACTCACGTGCATATAAAAACAAAATATGAGTTTCTGGGTCAACATAATTTCCTGTGCACTGAAAATAATCACATCACCGCTTCTATATTGCCACCACGATTTTATAATAGAATCAATCATTTTTAAGTGATATCTGCCTTTCACAATGATATAGTCAAGTAATATCTCTCTTTCACAGTAGTATCGCATTTTTTTTACGAGAAGTTTTGATGTTTCTTATTATTTTTCAACTAATATTTCCTGCTTATTGTTTTACTTTTTGTGCTGCAAGTCCTTCACTAGATGAGGTTTATAAGCACCGTACATAAGTCTTAGTGAGTCTACACAAAACAATAACTTTTCCAAAAACAAGAGAAAATATCTAACTTTTTATTGTTGTTTTACATTTTTGGTGTTTAATGTAATAGGATTTTTTTAAGTGCCCGAGATAATTCTTAGTTTCTTACACCTGAATGAAAACTTTTAGAAACACAAACTTATGGGAATGGTATCTTTTTCTTGGTTTCCTTTCCTGTGTTATTGATCGTAAAAGTGAACATATAGCTTTCTATATTACAAGACTTACATTAGGAGTCATATATCCTCCAGTTAAATCATCCACACAATATATAGACAACATCCACGCGTTATATACCTGTAGATAATATCCACACTTTTTATAGACAACATCCACACATCCACACGTTATATAGACAACATCCACACATCCACGTTATATAGACAACATCCACACGTTATATAGACAACATCCACGCGTTATATACCTGTAAATAATATCCACAAGTTAAATAGACAACATCCACACGTCATATAGGCAACATCCACACAGCCATTACCACAATAGAAGGTAAAATACGCTATTGCTTCCACATTCACAACTCCAAAAGGAAATTACTCAACACCTCGTTAAAAAAATAGTAAGGAGTGCAATTAACACCGAGTAAGGATCTCAACACACCAAGTTCAGCCTCAACAACACACTCAAGAGGCTGAGAATGAAGGAGAATGAAGAGTAGTGGGAGGAAAGAGTGAGGATGGAAATGCCTTTTGAGGGTGGTCGAGACTTGAGGTGATACAACTAGACACCACACATGTTAAATTAAGTTCTCAGAGGACCAGTAAATTTTCTAGTTGATATACATAAAATATTGAATCCAAAAGAAGGAAGAAATATAACTCTAAGACAAAATTATGATACGACATCAAGTCCAAATCTCCAAAGTTCTGGAAGCACCTTAAGCGAACGATCAGAAGAATAAAAACCTTTAGATATCCACCGATTCTAATATTTACAATAGGTCAAATAAATGTGTATAATGTAACACAGTCAGATAGTTCCATGTAAGAGTGTTGTTCCAATAACACAGGTCTGGCCAAAAGCAATTTATATTTTCCTCTGTTGTAAAGTGCTTTCACTTACTCGTTGAAACTCTGTGTACAAACTCTCTCTTTTTATATATATATATGCTAGACCTATTGTACGTTTTGTCAAGGAGGAGCGCTCATACCTCCACAATGATAAAGTGTTTGAGAAAAAGAACAATGAATTAGTAGCCTCTCTCTCTCTCTCTCTCTCTCTCTCTCTCTCTCTCTCTCTCTCTCTCTCTTCTCTCTCTCTCTCTCTCTCTCTCTCTCTCTCTCTCTCTCTCTCTTTCTCGGTTTTGTCATTTCTTAGTACGAAGTTCACTGTAAGAACTTTTGTTTCTTGTGTCCGCCTTCGTAACGACAACAACTCCGACATAGTGGCTGGTTAGGGTGTGTGTGTGTGTGTGTGTGTGTGTGTGTGTGTGTGTATGGTGTATTTTAACAAGTATATCTCTGTCTGTCTATCTGTGTGTATGTCTGTGTATCTATCTGTCTGTCTTTGTTTTGTCTCTTTACCTGTCTGTCTGTCTGTCTCTTTCCCTCGTTCTCACCCTCACCACCCCTCACACACACACACACACACACACACCTAACCCGTCACCCTTGCATCAAAACATTACTGCCCTTTTTAAGACTCGGGTTACAGCGCAGTTTGGACAATATATCGCCGTGCCACTGAAGTCGTGTTGTAAACTGAAAAAAAAAATATTGTGTCATACAGTTGTTGAACATCGGCAGGAGAAACCATGGGGGCTTAACCTACATATACAGTATGTGACTCTTTTTATGTGTATGTGTGTGTGTTTATATGTGTGTTTATATATTCTAAGTTTATATGTGTTTATATGTGTTCGTTAAGTCGGGTCTTTTCTTTATGCGTATTTTTTATATATTTATTTTATTTTTTCAATTATAATTTTGGTCTCGGAAATGCTTAACTTGTCTCCGGTATTAGTGGTAAGTCGTCGACACACACACACACACGAGTATACTGTATATAAGAGCTTACACATACAACTCTCTAAGCCATTGTGGTCGTGTAACTGGAGTAGCTGTACAGTAGACCGACAGGTGAGCTGAGGTTCACCTTAACCCATTTATATGTGATTCCCAGGACACTCATCTGTCTGCATACCGTACTACGAGTGGCAAGATGACGACCATTTACCCACACCACAGTTATCACACTGATCCCTAAATGAGTGTGTTGGAGACTGAAGGAAAGTAGGAGGTGGTGGAGTGAATTGAAAGAAAAACACATTCCATGGCGAATATCTCGTACAAGGAGACAAAGGTCATTAGAAGATGTGATACAACAACAATAATTCACGTATTTGAGGGAGAAAATATCCGTCTCCTGTCTGTGTTCTTTTACTCTATAATTTTATTCCCGGTGGATGTTTTGTTGAAAAATAATTCCTTTATAACGCTTTATCCATTTCTTCACATGCACCTGAGACAATGGTAATATAAAATTAATCTTAACATTTTCAAGGTAGTGGGGTCCACGTCACTCTCAAGTCTCATGTCGACTGTCATAAAATATTCAAATCAAGAATCATTGTTAATGGGAAACTGGTCTTTTTTTATACAGATTGTGCACAGTTTCCATGTTACAATACATTTAAGATTTTGTATTAATGAGAGTGAATTTGATGTAAACCGTAGGTTTTTGTAATCATTTATTCAGAAATCTGTACAGTGTGACCCCTCTTTGTTACAACCTAAAGGAAATGTTCAAAGTTGCATCCTTCTGCCTCAGTGCAGGCCTGTACACGTCGTACCATTGATTGTGTGATGCGTTCCAGAAACCTGGACTATGTTTAATTTGCTCTTAAATGTATTGTAACATGGAAACTGTGCAGAATCTGACATTTTACCATAGAGACATTGTGGATTTCATCCTCCAGTTTAATGTACTCTGGTGAATCACCCTGTATATCATAAGTATTTAAAAAATTAACGGGATTGATATTATCTGTTTAGAAATACCTAGAATCCAGTGAGAGATTCGTAGGATAAAACAATTTAGACTTTAAACACGATAAACCTCCGTGATTGTTGTGTACAATATAACAGTCAACTGTGTGAGGAAGTTTCCCCAGGCTTGGTGCTTTATTATATTAGAACATCTTTCAGGTGTCTCCTCCCTGATATTCCTTCACGAGTGATACACTGAATAGATTCCACTGAACATTTGTTTCACGGACTGCTGAAATATTTCACAATATTTTTTTTTCGTAAAAACATTATTCATTAGATTTCCTCTTCATGAAAATAAGAGATTACGAAGTATAAATCTTTAAGCGAAAGGTCAAAGGTTATGGAATTCGTCAATATTCTTGTTGGTAAAGAGAAAATCATTAGAACTGGAGTCGCCACCTCTCCATATTACTCTAATGAGGCAGTGACTTATTATAATAAGTCAGTCGTGAGTCATTAATGAAGTTAATGAGACTCACGCCCTCATCTTTTTGGTCATGAGTATTTTCCGCTCCTCGTCAAGAGTAGAGTAAATAATGCGACTGGAGATTCGCACATGGTCTACGCCGTCCTCCTAGTCGACTTTGACAAGGGGAATCCCACACCAGCTGCCTGTCGCTCTCTTCAGGGAAATGGTGAACCCATCTGGCCGTTCACCGGAACAATCACATCTGAGGCGCCAAGCGTGAGGAGACGAGACGCTTGTTGACACATAGGGCCGTGACACCACACACCACACACCACCACACCACACACCACACACACACACACACACACACACACACACACACACACACACACCACACACACACACACACACACACACACACACACACACACACACACACACACACACAATCGTTTATATCTTACATGAATTAATCTACGTGAAGAGATAGTGTTGTCTCCTAAGTATGATGGAGTACAGGAGGCAGGTGAAGATTTGCATCATCACGGGACGGGAGAGAGGCAGGCAGACCAGGAGACAGATGGCGCTGGTGAATGAGTTCTTAAGATATAAAATGAATTTCACTCAGTGGTGCCGCGGGAGTGATGGCGGATCATGAACGGTGGAAGTGTGTTTGTGTGTGTGTGTAAGACTGAACAAAGACTCTCACTTTCTTGAAGCTTGTCGACCTTGTGAGCAGAATAAATAAGTGTGATGGATTCAAGTTAATATTAAATGCACGTTCTGGATAGTGTGTGTGTAAGTGTATCTGTCTGTCTGCCTGTCTTTCCTATGATCATTTTTACATCCAATTATCATCAATATAATAATCAATCTTCTCCTAATCCAGCAACTTCTCCAGATCACAATACTATTAAATATCTCCACCATCACATAGTTACTGAGCCAATGGTTTTATCCTGTGTTGTGATACGTCCAGCAGGGAGGACACCTAGAGTCATCACCGGGGATCCTAGTGTCCAACATGACGCTGGTGTTGCAGAAAGTGGCTCGCTCAAACGCGAGCACCGCACTTGCCACGCCACCAACACCGAGGGATCTGCTGCTTCTCCGCCTGTCAACCTCGACGTCAAATGTAAGTATCTCTCTCCCTTGTGGGTCTTAAACTTTATGAGATGTTTTAGGGTATTATATCCTCTTAGGGACGAGCTGTAGGGAGTTAAATAGCCTCTTTCTTCTGTGTTATAGGTCTTTTAAGTCTCAGATCCCTCAGAGGTGTTTGTGCAGTGTAGGAAATTAGTTGTTTTTTTTTACTGAACTAGTATTAATTATGTAGAGTGTCAGTGTGCGTGTCATCAAGCTGTAGTGAAGAGACTTAGAATATTTAACGTTTGCGATAAATCAAGTGGGGATTTATTGTTGTGTGAGGAAATGGAGATGGAAAATACACTCGTGGTTAAATTAAATTGAGAGAAGGGGATGATGGTTCAGTTGACATGCAAGGTAGATACAATATTATCACAACAGTTTGTTTTGTTTTTATGTACCAGTTAAGAGGAATTACAAATTACGTTTCCAAGAAGGTTTACTGATAACTACTGAAGTGCTTCGAGTGTGTAAATTCGACAAGATATAAAAAAATTTACTATACAATAAAATTGTAATGTGGTTATCAAACTATTTATAATCATCAACTATTAAATACAACTTACAAACTCTAACCACGGCAATTCTTATCCATTCCTTGAGCCATATAAGCTTTCACAGTTCTCTTCATGTGTACTAACTTTGCTGTTTGTTGTCCTCCGTGTGGTGATGGTGATGGTACAGACGCCCCAGTGTGCGCCACGGACACGGTAGCCCAACACAGTGTGGCCAAGCACGAGAACGCCCGCATCTCGTGTAATGTGCTGGCTAACCCCCCTGTCGTGCACTTCAGTTGGGCCTTCAACAACACCGCCGAGGCTGTCAGCGTTCCCACAGACCGGTGAGTGCTATAGGGACACCAAAGATGGGAGGAGAGAGGTGAGGAAAGGAGAGGAAGTGAAGAGAGGAGGAAGGAAGAGGTGGGAAGAAGTGAGGAGAGGGGGGGAAAGTTAGGAGGGAGGACGGGAGAAGTGAAGAAAGGAGGGGAGAGGCGAGGAGAGGACGGAGAGGTGAGGCGAAGAAATGGAATGATGAACGAGTGGAGGCGCTGTGAGGATGATGTGATGGGAAGGTTTATAGGAAGCGAGAGATGAAGGGTTGGAGGGAACGAAGAAGAAAGAATGATAGAGGGAGGGAGAGAGAATGTCGGAGAAAGGAGAGAGAATGTCGGAGAAAGGAGAGCGAATGTCGGAGAAAGAAGAGAGAATGTCGGAGAAAGGAGAGAGAATGTCGGAGAAAGGAGAGAGAATGTCGGAGAAAGGAGAGAGAACACACTTCTACTTGTACTCTTAACATTCACGTGCACCTAAAATCCACATATAGCACAACACACAACACACACACACACACACACACACACACACACACACACACACAGTAGAGATGCAAACCTAACCAGTGCCAGGGTAATAGAGTCGGTGCCAGGGACCAGGTGTGGCTGAGTGCCATCATTAAGTGAACTGGAGGGTCATTGGGGCGGCTTCCTCTTGTTTTGTCCACTGCCATTTTACGTCTATCGGCTCTTGCTGGACCTTGATGGCTCTGTGTTCGGAGTTCTAGTCATATTTACTCAAATATCTGACTGTAGTGACTGGAATATTCGCTTCTAGTATTCAGTCACATTGACGCAGATATGAGGTTCTATTGGCTCGTATCCGGCTGTAGTAACTCGCTATCCGGCTGTAGTCACTTGGATATCCGTCTCTGATAACTTCAAAATTCCTCCTCTTAATTAATGATAAAACGAGAAATAAACTAAGAACATTTCCTCAAGACAAAAAAATTTCACTGAAATTTCTGTTTATTCATTAAATATGCTAATGAGGGGGTGACCAGGTCCCAGGTCCCACTGAATTATTCCAAGGTTTGTTATGGTTGACCAGTGTTGCCACAATCTGGTTCATAAATTTTATAAAGGATATTAGATGTGGAAGAGGAGCAGATATGTTGGTTGGTGTGGTGAGGGAAGGAGGAGAGTGGTAAGGAGTGAAGGATGGATAGGAGGAATAAAGGAGAAGGGAGAGGCGAATAGAAGAGGGAGGAAGGGAGGATGATGGAAGAATTAAAAAAAAAAGGAGAAACTAGACGAAGGGAAATTAATTCTCTGTTACATTTTGATTTCAGTATTTTGTTATTATCTCAAACTAGTTGGTGTTTATGGGTTTTTACTTATGAATCAACATCATAAATCACTTACTAAATAAACCCAAACTCTCCTCATTCGTCAAATACTCACAGATTCAGTTATTCTCAAATATTTGAGAGTTTTGCTAAAAAGCCTGAGGTCAGGAGGCAGGCTGTGAAAGGTTGTCACACAAAGGCTCGACCCTTGATATGAGAAGAGTTTTTCCCGCCCTTCCCTCGCTGTCCAGAATATGAGCAGCGACAGAGTGGTTCCGGTTGTCAGGTAGTCAAATATTTCTCCCAGTATTGTAATATCGTATTAGCAAACACCAGTTCTTGTCACTATGTAAATTGCAACGAGATATTGTCTGCTGTAGTCGTGCGGATATTGTGTGGGGGTGTCGCTCTGCCAGAAGCGGTTTTGGGTGGATGGGAGATTGCTTGTGTGTGTGGAGATTGTTTTATGTTTTGACTATCTAGGCAAGTGTGTGTGTGTGTGTGTGTGTGTGTGTGTGTGTGTGTGTGTGTGTGTGTGTGTGTGTGTGTGTGTGTGTGCGCGTGTGTGTGTGCTGTGTGTAATAATAATAATAATAATAATAATAATAATAATAATAAACGGTTTATTAATAGAGTTGCAGCAGTGGCTGAAAATTTACAAACTTACATTTGATTTAGACATAATGATATAATATGCGTTGAATACATTTACAGGCTGTACATACATAAATCAGGAGTTGCTTATTATTTTAACAATAGATGGGATGGTGCTATTCTTATATCTATCAGTGCGGGCTCTTATGGGCTGAATTTTGTTGTAGTGGCGGACTGCACCAAGGGCGGGGACGGCAGGAGGTGTGATGCGAGATGGTGCAGTAGTCCACTGCTAAACCTTACTAGTGCTTGGTGGAAGTCACTGAGGATGGCATTTCCAGGGTGTGCGTATGTGTGTGTATGTGTGTGTGTGTGTGTGTGTGTGTGTGTGTGTGTGTGTGAGGTTCATCAGATATGGAAGACGATAAGTGTTTTCAAGTCCGGGTGCTCAAGCCACAGTAGCACGTCCCAACATTTACACTCTGACTCGAGGAAGTACCTCTAAACGGAGCTTCCAGAGCCACTTCCATCTCGTCTGCTCCCAAGTGATCCATCTACTGAGGTTAAGATCTTTGTATGTCACTTTCATTTGCTTCATTCAAGACATCATATCCTGTAAGCATCTTTCGGTTAATTCTTACTACGTGTGGCAGTAAAACGAGTCGATGTGACGTTGGGTTTGTTTTACTTCTTTCTGTAGAACCTGGTGGCCAAAATATCGTTGAACCATTGGGTGTGACTCCAGAATGGTCAGGACAACCTCGCCAGCATATTGCTCAAAACTACATCAACAACAGTGAAAAGGTCAAATAATAACATGTCTCACCTTATTATTTATAATGTGACTCTTAGGACAGGAAGCGACCTTTATCTTGACAAAGTGAAATAACAGCGATATGCACCTCTAAAACCTCAGTGATTATTTAACCTAACCCCCCATCAGCTGTCAGAACACCCTGGGACCTGTAAAGCGGTTCACAAACAAACATTCACTGATAGACAGACTTGATAAGTAGCTTACCTCAGTCCACATCAGTGCTTCTCGTTAAAAATAAACCCTAACTCAGGCAATTTGAACTCCAGGACACCTTTTAATTGATTCCAGGGTTGAATGATTCAAGATAAAACACAGTTTGATAAACTCTCAATAACAAAAAAGTAAAACAGGTTAGACTGATAAAAGCGCTCACCAGCTACATTCACTTGAGTGTAAATTGTATCCTTGAACATCTCGTGTTTAAGTTTGGCAATATCTCGTGAAAACGTCCAAATTCTTAAATTCAAAGCGAAGGGAGGCAGCAACAATTTGGTGTATCTGCAACACTAAAAACCGCACAGTTTTCGAGGACCCTCCAGCAAACGCCCACAAAAATGTGTTAGGTTTCCTTTATTGCTCGCCGGCAATACAGCGCCGCCTTCCTCGGTGCATTTGAGTTCACTGGAGTTATAATTGAGGATTTTATATTTTTTTTTTTTTTGCGAATTGGAATTCCATTGGAACGGAAACACTATACACTTTGAGTAGGAGCAAAAAGGAGTGAAACATGTGAAGCAGCCTCCTCCATACAAGAGTCAGCAAGATATATGGTACAGAGTTAGGTGTAGTACATAGCAGTTTGCCCGCGTCACTACGATCTGTGGTTAACTAGAAGAGAAATGAAGTGTTAGGAAGGCGTCGGCATCACCAGCACACACACACTGGGATAACTTTAGCAGCCGTGTATAACATATTACTGAAGATTAAAACGTTGATTATGTCCATTAACTTCTCACCATTATCTCACCCAGACGACTTGTAGGTACAGAAGTAATCTCCTCGTTCATTTCGTCAGTATCTGGACACAACACCCAGGAGTGTTACCATCTTAGGATACGACCGTAAAGTTCTCTGGATAGTTAATTTAGTGTTGTACAGTACGTCGTTACCAAAGACACAGAGGGTTCTTTATAATCCCCCTTACTCGTATACGACAAGCCAAATAGTTCCCCCCCAAGAAAAACCTTTGAATTAGCCCCTTCAGTACCACCATCCCAGTGTTCAACATCACAGCAAGACTTAAAGGGCGTTACGGGTTTATTTACATCGTGATGTCAGGGGTCCTAATGGCTTTACCGGCACCATGTGGGGGTCGAAGAAACCTTTACCCAAGCTGCCACAAAAAGCAGCCTCTTCCTAAGTGATCCCAGTGAGGTGGTATACGACGTGCTGCCGCTGTGTGGTCTCGTGAAGCTTATGGGGTAATGGTTGATTTTTATCGTGTTAGATGAGAGAGCTTATGTACAATACGTGCGAGTTAGATGGTGCTGGAGCAGATAATTTTCTGAGGAAGGTGAGTGAGTCAGAGTATGTGTGTTTTGTCAGAGGGAAGTAGAGAGAACACATGTGCGTGTGTCTGTGTGAGAGTGTCGGGGGGGGTGTGTATGTGTGGGGGTGTGTGTTGATGTATGGGTGTGTGGGCCTGGGGGAAATAAGAAAGATAATTGTGTGGGGTAGATAATTATGGCTGCCTCCTGGGTAAACATTTCAGGGCACAGTCAAATAGTTTAAAGTTATAATTCTTAGTTACATAAATTAATTTATTGAGAAGATCACTACTATACCAACGTCATTGTTGTAGAATTAATGAACGTAATGAACAGAATAACTCAGCTTTTATTTGTGATAGTCGTTAGTATCACCCATGATTAGTTTTCACATTAATTGAGTCCTAGATACAATGTTTGTGTAAATTACAGTATGTAAAAATTGAATGTGTTAAAATTATATTATTTGACATGACAAAATTGCAAAGTTATTAATTTTTTTTTGGGGGGGGTAACTAATGATATCAAATTATATACGGTATACATAGAAAAATCAATATAGATTCCACAAACAGATAGATAAAGATATAAATAATTTTTGTGTTGTATCATGGCCAAACCATCCAGGTGGAGTAAAAAATAAGAGAGTTACAGCAGAAACTTTATAAGACAAAATCCCATATATGATTATTTTCCTCATCTTCTTTGTAACATAATTTGACCTAATTTGACCCATAACAAGTCCTAAAGACATGATCTTGGAAGTGTAGTACAGATACACACTAAGCTGTCGGAACACTGAACTACTACGTCAGGATCAGAAGTTAGGAAATATTCTTGAACAGCACTATTACTAAAAATTGGCCCATTGTCTAAGTCGATAATTACAGGTGTGCAGTGAGTCGTGCACGTAATATACACAAAGTTAAGGATTTAGTGTTAGGAAGGATTAATACTCAACATTTTTATTAGTAACTACCAAACACAACGTCAGATTTACATACTGCACTTTTGTTATAAAGGAATGACATAACCTCTTGTAAATTGTATCCTCAGAGTACATTCATTTGTAATATATATTGTGAAATGGTTAAAATAATGTGTAATAGTTTAGGAATAGTTAATGGGTAATTTATCTCAGGTGTGAATAGGTATTAATGAGGGAATGTGTTTTTATTATTATTATTATTATTATTATTATTATTATTATCATTATTTTATTATTATTATTATTTTTATTATTATTATTATTATTATTATTATTATTATTATTATTATTATTATATTATTATTATTATTATTATTATTATTATTATTATTATTATTATTATTATTATTATTATTATTATTATTATTATTATTATTATTATTATTATTATTATTATTATTATTAATATTATTATTATTATTATTAATAATATTATTATTATTATATATTATTATTATTATTATTATTATTATTATTATTATTATTATTATTATTATTATTATTATTATTATTATTTATTATTATTATTATTATTATTATTATTATTATTATTATTATTATTATTATTATTATTATTATTATTATTATTATTATTATTATTATTATTATTATTGTATATTATTATTATTATTAGTATTATTATTAGTATTATTTATTATTATTATTATTTTTATTATTATTATTATTATTATTATTATTATTATTATTATTATTATTATATTATTATTATTATTATTATTATTATTATTATTATTATTATTATTATTATTATTATTATTATTATTATTATTATATTATTATTATTATTATTATTATTATTATTATTATTATTATTATTATTATCAGTGAATTTTTTTGTCCTCACGTGGCCAAGATATGTGGTGATGGGCACGGAATCGGTGGTCAACTACACGCCCGTCACGGAACTCGACTACGGCACTCTACTCTGCTGGGCTAAGAATGCTATCGGCACTCAAGTTCACCCGTGTGTCTTCCAGATAGTGGCAGCAGGTAAGATTACAAACACATAAACAGAATTAGCATTGATGTTTCTCTAGTTGATGAAATGAGTGAGATTTCAGGTTCCTCGATTACAAGCGACGGGAGGAAAACTCGCGTTGCGTCCTGTTCATTGTGACGGTAAGTAAAAGTTTCCAGTTACTACATATAACTTTTAGACAGGAAAATATACAATTTTGATTCAGAATTATGTCTTTGAGGTAGAAACAGTGAAGCTAAATCCAAACTAAGAGTTGAGGTTGTTGAGGGTAAGAGCGACATACATGGGTATTTTATTTAACATGAGGATTCACTCGACAATCAGTACAAGAAAGATCGTACATAAGAGTCCAGATTTTATTTGCATTTATCCCAGAAAATTATTATCTTTCGAAGCCAATTTCCCATTCCTATTGTCATTCTCCAGGAAGACAATAATACCTGTTGACAAAAGGTGCCAAATATAGAATGTATAAACGACATTTAAAGGCGACAGGTAGGAATCTAAATATAGACTTTGACCTTTAAGACAATATAAACATGTACGTCAAAGTGAGTCTCTCTCTCTCTCTCTCTCTCTCTCTCTCTCTCTCTCTCTCTCTCTCTCTCTCTCTCTCTCTCTCTCTCTCTCTCTCTCACTGTAATAATGGATGACCGAATACTCTTTATACCATTTTCTAACTGACTAATCTACTAAACGAACTCTTCTCTTGAGTCTCCTTAGCTATAGTCGCCCCACCAACACCTTATTCCTTCCCTGGTCAATAGAGTCACGCGTTCTTCACTACAGTAGCTTTAGACCTACTATTTACCGCCTTTGTTGTGACTATGGCTGTTATATTTAGTGTTGTAGTCGTTTCTGTCATGTAGTTTATATCATGGAGACGGTAGACTGTTCCTTCTATATAACTATTTTAATTAGGTATTTTTTTTTTTACTTCGTTAAGGCTTCAACTCTTCACTAATTTATCGTATGCTTGACACCCGTTCATCTCTGTTTACTTTTTAAAGGAATCAACTCGAAACATTTCTTATACCGACCCAAAGATCCATAACATTATCGTATAGTATTTCGTCAACTTAATTTGCGTTTCTTTAATATTTTGTGAGTGTTTTTACTTTAATAATCACATCTTAAGGCGTGAAGAGTAAATTAGCGTGTGTGTGTGTGTGTGTCTAGGGAAAATCCTATCTATACAATCAACCAAAACTTAATCAAGAGCAAAGTTACATTCCTCTATCCACCTCATACCAACATACACACCGGCTAACGACTCCCATTTATCTGCCTGTTATCATGAAACACCCAAAAAAAAATAGCTGCATCTGTTTCTCACTTAAGACCACATCCTTAACACAACTCACAGGAGATGGAAGACCAGGGAAATAGGTTGTCATGTAGAGAGGTGTTGGCTGTCACGATCGCTGGTGATGGCATCTGGTTCACTTTACCTCGTGTATTTCCCGCTGATATTTGATAATTTAGGTCGAGTAAAATAGCGACGTCAGTTTGTGGATGGAAATAGTGTGTAAGGGAGTTGTCTTTGATGTGATTCGTTTATATTTATTTACATAGATTTATAATTAAGCTGATAGTATATTGTGAGAGAGAGAGAGAGAGAGATGTATATTATATCACATTAAATAGGGATAATTGCTAAATATTGATAATTTCTATTAATTTCTTATTTTTGACAATTCTAGAATAGGTTTGTGTATAGCGGTGATCACGTAGAGCAGTAGATAACCACAATATAAACTGTATATTCTATGATAGCACTTGACGACTCTAGTAATACAGAACAAATCACTCTCCTGTATATCAACATGAGAGAGAAAGATAGATATTAAATGCGTTTTTATAGTAACATTATATCTATGAAAGAAAGGTCAACCTCTCTACCTTTCTTTCTCCCATTTCTTTTCTCTCTCTTTCTACCCTTTATCTCTTTCTTTCTACCCTTTCTCTCTCTTTCTCTCTTTCTACCCTTTCTCTCTCTCTTTCTACCCTTTCTCTCTCTTTCTCTCTTTCTACCGTTTCTCTCTCTCTCTCTTTCTCTCTCTCTCTCTCTCTCTCCCCCTCCCCCTTTTTCTCCCCCTCCCCCCCTTTCTCGCTCTCTTTGACTTGCTTCACGTAAGTTTCTCCAAGGTCATTGTACTGACACTGGCCAAGTCTCTCTCATAAGCTCCCTGAGTCTCTTCCTCTTAAGATGACGAGTAACTCTTGTATTCTCAATCATCCAGAATTATTTATAATCTTTATACGACGGAATAATTATGAGATAAATTATTGACATGCATAGTTGTTAACTGTCACGTCTCATGCCAGCGGGCGGCTCTGTTATTTAAGTCCGGGTGACAGTGTCTGTTTGTTGCTTGTGTTGCCTGAATATTATGCGTATTGAAAAAAAACTTGCCTGTGACTTCACTTCCTGTGTATATATTTGTGTGTGTGTGTGTGTGTGTGTGTGTGTGTGTGTGTGTGTGTGTGTGTGTGTGTGTGGGTAGATAAATATAGATATATATTTACGGATTTTTTGGTACACATTTCTTCTTTTATCATTGTGTTAAGGTAATGACCAACAATGGATCCTCTCTACCCCTCTGACTAAGGCTGGACGGCTCACTTATAGTACTTAATATCTTATCATTAATATATCATACTGCATAAAATCCCGACCATCAATATCCGGCTTATCTAGTAGTATTTCTGGCGCCTTGTGTTACAGGAATTCCCCTAAACATATCCGGTTGTTCCTCAGTTGCAAGGGGGAGAGAGACAGACAGACACACACACACACACACACACACACACACACACACACACACACACACACACACACCTACTAACATCTGCACACAGGTTGTCTACTTATTTTCAAGGTTCAATATAACTTCATCTTGTTATAGTTATTGCCATGAGTAACTTCACCTCTAACTTTATAATCAAACATAATATTTAATAAGGAAATAAGATAAGAAAAAAACCCCATTGAATTACAGACATGATTTCATAACTAATGTGAACTATTTCATTACAAATACAAAATCTAGACAGGGGGCCATTGAGGTCGGTCATTGTCACGTGGTGGACCATGATAAAACTAATGAAAATATCGCTACCAGGGGACTTACCTGAGGTGTGTGTGTGTGTTGGTCTGTAAACGAGTAGAAAGAACATGATATCGTTAAGTATTTCCCCCATAGGAGTTAAGACAAAACACTGACATGGAAATAACGATTGAGTTGTTCCTGGAAATACAGTAATGAATATTTATCTGTCTATCTCATGTTGTATTCATGTTTAGAGCAAATGACTGTTGTTGAGTGTTATCTGAGTCATATATGAATGACTAACCTTACGTCGTGTACTGTTGGAGACGTGACACGGGTAGCCGAAGTTCTTAGTGTGTGGGGTATTTGATATAGTGGTTTTGTGGTCCCACCAGTGAGTCAATTTCCTTTATTTTATAGTAAAAAAAATAATAATTTGAAAAAATATAAATAAATTCAATAATAACTAACATGCAGAACGGTGTAGTAGGAAAGGAAGGAACTGAGAGACGTAGATAACTGGGGGAGGCACACAAGAAGGGAAATGAAATGAAGATAAATAGGGACAGGTGTGGTGGTGGTGGGGGAGAGATATAAAAAGAAAACGGGGAAAAAAAAAGATACGTTAAGGATAACTGTGGTAAATTTTTTCACACCATAAAGCAACTGTTGGTGAGGTTGGAATCGATGAAGAGAATTATTACCGTGGCTTATTGTACCATTAGTATCATAAACAAACAACAAAAAATCAACCAGTCTAGTGCCACTGATTCACAACATTTACCTCCAACCAACATACAAGAAAGTACGAGAATATTTTGTTTTGTTTTCTGTTAATATTCTGTTCTAAGGTTATTGATAAAAGATTAAATTATCTAAAATACTTCGTCTCATTCTTAAATAAATCGTAATAGGGCAGGAGGGACAGCTAATGGGTTGAAAATAACAAGATAACTCCTGCGACAGTGTAGAGAATGGGAGGGGAGGGACGGGAAGGGAGGGAGGGGGGGGTCAGCGATCTTTCTTCCCCCCTCCCCCGCCCCCCCATTCCCCTTCCCTCAGTTGAAATATTTCCGTCCCTCACTGGAGAAGATATCCCCTTGATCCTAGCGATAAGTGAATATGCAAAACTTGTCGGGTGCCTGAATATGTGAACTCGTCATCTGAGTTATGTGAGGACTGAGTCACGACACGGGGTGAAATCAGCTCGTTTGAGGAAGGGAAAGAGCTGTAATACTGTAGCTGGGAGGGGAAGGAGGAGAATATGAAGTGAGAAGATTTCGGAAGGTTTATAAAATGGAGAGAATAATTTAGACGTGAAAAGATAACGAAAGAAATAAAAGGGAAATATTAATAAGAGTGAATGTTAGGAGTATGGAAAAAGCGATATGGAAATGGATATATAACGTTATGTAAATAGGAGAGAACAGAACAAGGGTGGAAAAGAATGACAAGGGTGAAAAGGTTAACATTGGAGAGAATATCAAAGAAAAAAGGAAAACAAAAAAAATAACAGTGTGATAAAAGTATGAGACCAGGAAAAAGTCAATGTACAGAAGAAATTACAAAGACGAATACTTGGACAAAAGAAGGAAGAATAAGTATAAGAAAGTAACTAATTTAACCTCTGTCAAGAAAACTCCAAGGAGAAAGATTACTTCCAGGTCTTGAACAGCTTAATGGATAAAATGAAATAGGAATACAAATGAAGCCACGTTAATTACACAGTGAAACAAAAACAGCCTGAAGATGCCGGCTGTTCTCCTTCAAGACGAAAGAACATTTGTAGTCAATGTTCTTACACAAAGATACAAACAAGATTGCTATAAAAAAAATACCTAAAAGAAATAGTGCTGCAAAAATCGGCTCCATAAAGAATTCTGAAATATTATTGTATTAGAGACCCTACGAGCGGCTCTGAAAGATATTTTATAAGATGAAATGAAAAAAAGTAGA